ACACCGACCAGCTACGATCCTGAATTTGAATTCAGCCAAGACCTTCTGACGGCAAACCATGTCGATGATGTTAACATGACAGGTCTAGAGAAAAATATAGACGACTATGTACAACGCGTCGAAAAGGTATCTGGCAAATGCAAGCTCAACAAGCACACATATACGAACTGCGCCGTTCGCTACACTAAGAATGATCAGGGAGATGCGATCATGGACCAGGACGAGCATATTAAACAACTACGTCCTATCACACACCTAGAACTTACAGGAGCGGCGGCCGACGCCAAAGCCACGAAACTCATTGCCGACATGTTCGCCAGCCTGCGAGGAGCCCTCGCCTATGCCCTTCTTACCCAAATCTGGCTCATGGTATATGTGGTCTCCCTTCAGAAAATTCAAGAGCCCACCAATTTGCAAGTCAGACGTTTGAATGCTGTGACGCGAAAGCTGATCAGCAGTCCGAAACGTATCACCTTCCCTCGGATGAAGCCGACGAATGAAGTTGACATCCATAGCGATTCGGGGTATCGGAAGCTTACCGGGGAGGAGGATGACGAGACCAAGGGCTACGGCATACGCGGGGCCAACGCACTACGGCGAGGAAACTCGCCCCAAGGCAAGTCCGTCGTTCACCTCTGTGACGGACTATGCAAATCACACCGATTACAGGTGAGGTCCAGTTATGCTGCGGAGGCACTTGCAGCCGCACATAACCTTGATGAGTGTTACCCTACGCTCATTACTCTCCACGAGCTTAAGGCAGGGGCTTTGACTCCACGACAACTACGAGACATGCGTGAAGTTGGAGGCCTTGCTATCAAAGTCTCTCTTACCATAGACGCCGAGTCCGTCTACAAATCTTTATCAAGCAGGGATCTCAAAATACCTACAGAACGGACTCTGCTTGGACATATCAGCTGGATACGTGAGCTCATGGATATAGGTATAGTACATAACGTACAATGGTGTGATACTAGGGATATGACCGCAGATGGGCATACAAAGGGAAGCATCGATCGGGAGCTGCTTCTGGAAGTGATGTCAGGCACTCAGTCATTTAAGTATGACGTGAAGCAATTTGTTCCCTTTCGGGGTCCCGAGGACAGAGACAAACCTAAGTCTAATCAATTTTAGTCTGTCCTTGTTGCCCTCGCGGTCCAGTTTGCCAGCACGGGCGCCTACTATAAAGGCGCCCCTTTAGCTGCTCGGAAACGAGCCTTATATTTCACGCCTGGCAACGAGCCGGCTTCGTACAACTCAGGCTCTTTGCCTTAATACACATTTGCTTGGTGAGGTATGGCCTAATTTTGGCTTACCTCTAACTGAGCCGATAGCCCTTCATTGTTTGAAGGGGCTGTCCTGTATTTGCGTGAAATACTTTGCGAGGAAACTCGCCTTACAGTCTGGTGTTTGACTGTTTGACCAGACTGTACGCACTGTTTTCTTTTCTTTGCAAACAGTCGTGCGCGCGATCTTTGCGTGCGACTATGCTCTCCGTCTCCTCCCCTCCCGACTTTAAGGGTAGCTCTTTGGGAGATGTTACAGTGTCGGGAGCATAGCTCGCGCGCCGTTGCCTTTGGCCCAAGGCACGCGCGCCCTATTTGCCCGGACACCGCGAGTGTTCGCTATGTGCTGGAAAGATCATTACATCGATCTTATCCCATCTTATTCATCCACCCCTCATACTGTACCTTCACAGCAGAGCGATGGATGCAATTTGCCAGGCTATATGCCATATTTGGTCTACCAGGCTCACTTTCGACTGGGTATATATATAGACACAGACATAGACATAGTCAATGACATAGACATAGACATAGACATACATATATATATATATATACATTATACATACATATATATACATATTAACTGTGTATAGGTATACATCGACATAGACATACAATATGGACTGTGTGTTTCGCTCCGTACACCTTGGTCCTTCACGCCCAGCTTGCAAACATAATGAAGTAGATCGGTCAAAGCAGCGATCGCTCTGGATTGCAAGTTCCACTGTCATCGTTATCATCTTGTTGTTCCTTCTCCTCTTCCTCGTCGTCTTTCCCGTTCTTGCCTGAATGGCCCCGCGAACCCTTCCCCGTCCTCCTCAGATTTGTTTGCGAATGCCCCTCCGAGGCGAGCTTCTGGAGGACCTCGCAAGAGCCTTTAAGGGGCTCCTTGGTCGCCGGTGGAGACGTCTCTGGCGCCTTTCTGGGGGGGGTCCTCGGGCTAACCGTGGTCTCGGGTCCGTCATGGGGCCCTCTCTGGGCAGTTTCTGAGCCCTCTTGGGCCTTATTGGGGCTTTCTTTGGGTGTCCGGATTTGGGGTCGTGCTGGGGCGATTGGCGATGCATCGCGAGCGTTTTCGGACGCCCGGAAGACCGAGTAGCCAAGTAGCCCGAAATCTCACAACAATTTACGACAATCAAGCTTCTCTGCGTTTCCAAAGCCTCCTGGGGGTGCTATTCGGGTCATTTTCGGGTGTCTGGCCGGGAATCTGGGGCCGCTGGAGGCTATCCTGGACCGTCTCGGGGGTCTCTTGGGACCGCCACCGACCCGGCTGCGCTGCTCGGCAGGGACTTCCAGGCGCCCGGGAGCCCTGGGCGCCAGCGACCCCGCTTCGGAAGGGGGGGGTCCGCAGGGCCCCTGATTAGAAATCAGGGATGTTTCTTCGGGTCTCTTCGAGGCATGTGTGTGCCTGTCCACACGTGACGTTACTGGCTCGTTTCGCGCCGCCCTGCAAAACATGGGCCGAGTGGCGCCAGGGATCGCGCGCCGCGACCGCTGCTCGCCAGCGCCGCGGCGCGCATTGGCACTGGCGTTTATGAAGCTCGTGGGGCTGATCGGACTAACGGTGCTCAGTGCCTCATTGGGATCACAGGGCTATCAAGCGCCAGGTGGGCTCAGGGACTCGTAGATCGAATTCGGCCACGGGAGCCACAGGGTTGGCGAAACGCGCTGGGGTCAGAGAGCCCCACTGGGGCTCGCTGGCCTGATGATTGGGTCCTGGGCGTCACAACGCCGACGGGGTTCACGTGGACTCACGGGCGATGCGGTTCTTGCGGGTCCTGTGTGCGATGCTCGCGGCCCGTCATGGCCGTGAGGGCCACGGGGCTGCACGGAGCAGGAATACCGCAGGGCTCGTGCGGCTTCTGGGGCAGCGGGCCCCAGAGGGGCTCATGGGGTTCTTGGGGCCGTAGGGCCCGGTCGGGCTCATGCGGCTCAGGGGGCTCATACGGCAATGAGTTCATAGGGTTAAGTCGGGCGTGTCCCCCTACAGGGGGATTTTCGACGAAACCAAAAAAATACCCTCAAAATTATAAAAGAAATAGTACAAACATAGTCTGGGGACCACTTTGTGAGTATATTTTGACCCTTTTGTGGTACTTTTGGCGTATGTTTTATTTTTCGTCGAACATCCCCCTGTAGGGGGACACGCCCGACCTAATCATAGGGTTCCCAAGGCGCATACAGGGGTCATGCGGCTCGAAGGTCTCATGGGGCTCAGGACTTGGAGGGGCCACGGCTCACAGGACCCATGGTGCCCACAGCGAGGCGCCTGTCGCTTCTCGTCCGCCCCTCTCTCTTGGAGGCAGCGGCGAAGGTCCGTGGGGGCCGCTTGGAGGCCTCTTGGGCCCGCGGTTGGTCCTCTTGGGGACCTCTTGGGGCCCCCTTCGGCCGTCTTGGGCGCTTCCTGGGCAAGCTTGGGCGTTATTGGGCCGTCTTGGGCTGTTCTGGGTCCCTCTGTGGGTCCTCGGAGGCTTTTCTTGGGCAGTTTTGGGTGCATCTTGGGCTGTCCTGGGGCCGTATTGGGCCGTCTTCGGGTCTTCTTGCGGGTTGTTTGGGCCGTCTTGGGGCGATGTTGAGGACCTCTTGGGTCGTCTCAGACGGCGTCAAGGTACGAAAGCGACAAGTTCAAACGTGTACGCTTTCTTAGGATTGGTGGCGATTTCACTTTTGGGGGCCCTTCTTGGGGGCCCTCTTGGAGCCTGCCTGGTGCGTCTTGGGGGCTGCCTGGCCCATCTTCAGGCCCCTGTGAAAGTCGGGGGGACGCTCTCGGGCTGTGCCGATGCGCGCGGAAGCCTCCATGGGAGCCTCCCGGGAGCCTCCGGAGGGCCCGTGGGGGCCTTTCCTCTTGGCGCCTCCGAGCCGCCCAGGCCGGGATGCATGTACGGGGGGGTCCACCAGGCGTTTCCGATAAAGTGAACATTTGCAGAGGAATATAGCCAAGGCGAGGATGGTGTGGGTCGGCGGCGAGCGAGGGGCGGGAGTGAGGAGGAGAAGGCCTTCTCAGGAGGCGGCGGGACTTCTCAGAAGCCCTGGCGCCTTCTCAGAAGGCGGGGGGGCTTCCGAGCCTTCAGACAAGGCCTTCTCCTTCTCAGTTCCCCCCCTCGCTCGCCGCCTGGTGGGGGCAGGGGGCTGTTCAAGGGGAGGTGGATGGGATGGCGGGGGGCGGAGGGTAGTTGGGAGGGTCGAGCAGATCATGGAACTGGTCGGCCTGGAAGCAGTTCGCTTTTGTTTGTTGTCGGGTTGTGGAGGTCAGGCTCATGTTGCGCGTCGGCTTGGCAGTCGCAGGGAGCCAGATTGTGAAGGAAAATGCCATGCAATGCTCATGATCATACCCCCTCATGTTTCTTCCTCCTGCCCTGGGTGGATTGGTGAATAAGTTGCAATGCAGCTTCGCTGGGCTATAAGTTCAAGTTCAGATGGTGAAACACGGAGGGCATTTCTAAATCTCAGGGAGCCATTTTGGATTCCGTTGGCGTCATCATCCAACCGTTCTGGAGTCGCAACACAGCGGTATAGATTTGAAACCCGGCGGTAGTCTGCAGGCCATCGTCGCGATGAACCCTCTGCAATAGCAGTCTATACTCGAGGATGGGGGGGGAGGTGAAGAAGAGGAGGATGACCAGGAGACGGCCAAGGCTAATCTGCCAGAGGCGGAGGAGGCGTTCCCGGGCACCCGAGGGCCCGAGCGTGCAAGGACAGTTCCTGCAGAAGGCCAAGGGCGAGCTGGAGAAGACCGACTTTCCGGAGCTGAGGTCGGTCATGGTCGACCAGTTGATGCGCCCGCGCCCTTCAGAGGGGAAGGAAGCCGAGAAGGAGGAGGAGGAGGAGGAGGAGGAGGAGGGTCATCAAGGGTTTGGGTGCAATGGGCCCTTCGAGTGACACGGGTTCGACATGGAGGGGGACGCAAACGTGGAGGATGATATTGGAGGGGATGGAATGGGATCTGAGTTGACCAAGTGCATGTTGACAGCCACAAGTTTCCCTTACCCTATCCCAGTTGAGCTTGCACCTAACCTGTCGTATTCTTGGAGCTCGATTGGGCCCTCCAGATGGCATCGTATCCAAGAAGCGCTCGTTGACAGGCTCCCGCATTGATGCCTGACTGCCCTATCTCCTGGCCGACATGATCAGCTGCATACTTCACTATGGTACTCCAGTTCTACATTGGCTTGATCACATCGCTCCCTACTGCTACAGTGCCGTTTTCAATACATGCTCCGCGTGCGGATCATGTATACAAAATGCAGGGATTTAGTATTTAAAAACAGCGATGATTTCATGCATAAGTTCATTCATAAATTAATCATTATTAAACATCCCATATGTTTAAACAGCACATGTATTAAAAAACTGTCCTGTAGGACCTATGATGCAGTGCCACCAGGCTGGTGCTTGAAGATCTAGGTTGCCCGCGCGTGCGACAAGACGACCAACGCTTCGCGCGCCGCGCGGTCCGTGCCAGAACGGGTGCTCTTCGCCAAGACGGCGGCGCGTGGGCTCGAAGATGATCGCGCGTCGTGCACCGTGGGGCGCGATGCACAAAGTTCTTGGCATCGCTCGGACGTGTGCACTCTTCCTTCGGCGAGGACCATCGAGGGACATCCTTGATCATTTGGCGAAACAACCACGCACGAAACCGAAAAAAAACACAGGGAATGGACGTCCGAGCGATGGCCAGGGTTAGGTGATCTGGAAGATTGTGATTGTTCTGGGTCCTTGCCAACTGTCTGGGGAAGTCTTGACGAGATGTGCTCCGACAGCGCCAAGCAATGACACCCATGGTTTCAGGACACCGCGGCAGCGCCAGGGCGCCCCCTTTTGTGGCTCAGGTCCCCTCATGGCCGTGCTGTTTCCTCAAACGTGCATGAGCAGATGCCCTTGCCAGTGTATGTCTGTGTGTCGGTCGTGCCCAGCTCCGCCATAGTATGTTTCATGAAGACGTGTGTCGTCGTCTGAATGCTTATGCCGCATCAGGTATGTCAAGGAGGATCTGATCCTTCCCCACTCGACATCGTTCTACGAGCTGATAAAGGAGAGAGCCGTTGAACTCATATTCAATGAGACGGCTTGTCTAGCTGAAGTGTCGCCCCCAAGCATGAGTATTACAGTCAAGCTTTGTATGTTGACGCAGTCTACTGAACACCACAACGTCGCATGTCGGCAAGCATCGTTCGGCTGGTTGCTTCATGCTGTGAACCCGCCTCATCTATTATATGTGTCCCGGGGTCACGCATCAAATGATACCGCCCTTGTTGCGCTGTTTGTGTCAGCAGGTCCGCCTCCTTACGATTACAGTCATCATCCTCTCTCGCTCCTGCGACATCTTACTCGTACTCATTTCTCGTTATCCTCCTGCTTTCTTCGCCTTCCTCCTCCCTCTTGTGCATCCTTGGCTCCTGACCCTCATCCTCGCCATCCCCGTTCGCTCTCATCCTTCCAATCGTTCTTCCATCTTGTTGCCGCCTCGTCCACCATCCTACCGCCACCTTCCTCACCCTCAATTGATTTTCGTGTCTCCAGACAAGTCCTCCATCCATCCTACATCGATCTTCGACACTCTTTTTCCCCCTGCCCATCCTCCCCATGCATCCATCCAATCCTCCATCAACCCATCGATACCGCCTCATCCTTCCTTCTCCATCCTGTGCTTCCCACAGCCGTTTCCATTCTCCTCCGTCGGCGTCCATCTCCTTCCGTCCTTCTCAAGATCCGTCCATAGTTCATACTGCGCCCGCAGTCCTTCGTCATCTTTCCTCCTCCCATCCCTATCTTCATCCGTCATCACCCTTCCCGTCATCATTCTGCACCCTTGCTCGTGCCGTTGACGCTGCTGTGGCTCCCCCTGTTCCTGAAACCGTCTCTCCTGATCTGGGTGTGCTTCCTCCTGCTTACCTTGCCTATCGCGACATTTCTCCACATCATCGTCGAGCTCCAGATCTTCGGCTCCTCCGCCGCACTCCCCTCGCGCATCTCCGGCTGCTGAGCCCTCACAGGCCTCCTTGCTGGCTTGTGCGTCCTCGCCTCCATCCTCTCCATCCACTGTGTCATCTGGCACCGCACCCTCTCCAGGGCTGCTCGCCGTCCGATCCGACCCGATCCGACCCCCAAACTCCGATTCCGATCTCGATCCGACACCGACCTCGACCTCGATCTCGATCCGATCTCGATCTCTCGACCCCTTCGACTTTCGACCTCGATCCCGAGCCGACCCGATACGAACAAAACCGATGCCCCCTCTCTCCGGCCTCTGCACGGGCCGAGCCAGGGGGCGCTCCGCTCCCGAGCCGACGTCGCGACGACTCCAGCCTTCGGTCGGGCGTGTCCCCCTACGGTAGGCTCGCGTCGTTTCGACCGGCGGCGACCCCGCCGCCAGCGTTTCGGGCCGGGCGAAAGGGGGGGATTGGGAAAGGGGGGTTACGAAATTTGCTGCATGCAGCTGGTTTCGGCCCCACCGAGGGGCCCATTCCTCGATACGTAGCTCCATCCGGCGCCGGGAGGCGCCGGGAGAATCAGCTACGTGAGCTGATTCTCAAACCCCCCCTTTGCTATCCCACCCTTTCGCCCGACCCGAGCGTTCAACGTTGAACGCCGCCAGCGACCCAGAATCGGTCGATGTTGAACGATCGGACGTTCCGGAAACGGCGGATCGCTCAAGGTTGAACGATCCGGGCTGTATCAGGAACCAACGCCAGGGTTGTCACGACACGGACCTGCCGTACAGGAGGACTAATCAAGAGTAGTCAAACGTGGTCCGGGGACGATTTTCTGATTATGTTTGTTGTGCATTCTGGGGGTATGTTCTGGCATTTTGCTGCATTCGTCTCCCAGAATGCCCCTGCAGGGGGACAGGCTCGACCTGATTCAAGCGGGATCTGATCCGCTGTTGGTCTGATCCGATTTCGCGATTGGGTTCCAGCTCTGGCCGGCACGAACGAAATGGGTACGGAGAGAATGGGTGCAATGCCCAACAGCAGTTCCTGTTCATTTTGAACAGGACTCGCTGTCGGTGTCGCCGCGACCTGTGTCCATTTGAGACAGAAGGCCGCCTGCCCAACAGTGGCCGCTGTTGGTTTGGGACCACATTTGTTGTTGGGCATTGTACCCATTCTTTCCGTGCCCATCTCGGGCGTCCAAATTTGGCCTTGTACATTCTTTTATCCCTGCCGCGTGGACCCATCGGCCGCCGAACGGCCGCCTCTGCCCCCACCTTTATCCGCCGGGCCCGCCAGGAGAAGGCTCGGGGCAAGTCCGGCCCGCTGTTCAACTTCGACGTGGTCGATGACCGGTGGGGGGAGGCAGGGGGGCTCGTATCGACTACGCGAAAGAGTGACCCTTCGCCGGAGTGACCTTTGGTGCGGGCCCACTGGGGTCTCCCGATCGCCGAGCGCGTTGCGGTTGTAGCGTCTGCGAGCTTGTGTTTTGTCCCCCCGCGGCCCCCCAGAAGTCGCGCACCAAAGGTCACTCTTACCCAGGGTCACTCTTGCGTGTAGTCGATCGAATCATCCAGAGAAAGTGAGGAACAATCTACTGATCTCGATGATGGAAATATTGCGTAAACAGAAACTTCTGGCGGTCCTCCCAGATGGATTGCATCGGCGTTGGAACCCCTTGGCGGCGCCGACCCAAGAATTCCACGTTGGCCTCCGAAAGTTTCTGTTCATGCTGATGTTCCCCAAGCAGGTCTTGCGCTTGGGGGTTCTGATTTCTGTTCGAAGGAACGGGGCATTGGGGTCGATCTGGCGGCCACGCAGTCGCCGTCGCCGCCCCATCGCCGCCTCGTCGCCGCCTCGTCGCCGTCGCCGCCTCGCCGCCATCCCGTCGTCTGGGCCTGGGGGTCGGTCGGGCGGCTATGTCGTCGCCGTCGCCGCCTCGTCGCCGCCCGTAGATTCCCCTTTCTACAAAGAATATCGATTCCACACCCCCTCCACGGAATTATCGCCCGCCTAGGACATCGCAAATTACACATGGTTCTGCCGCATCATTCGCTCTGCATATAAATCCGTAGCATCCCAGCCATGCCAGTATCGGCATTCCCCCAATCGTCGTCAAATGATATAATGCGCGCGCATACGTTTATATTTGGTTTCCTTAATACAAAACAGCTCTGAACAATCGAGACAAAGTCATCGCGCGCGTCGTCGCGCGCGCGCACGTCGGAACCCCTCAAAATTCATATTTCCGAAAGCGTGTCAACCGAACGCCAAAAAACGCTACGTTCAACATGGCTCATCCAGAAATCTAGGCGCGTGCACTTGCGAATTCTCAAAAGTACTATATGCGAACATCTTCGTCAAATGAGACCACGCGGGCCTCTCGCGCGCGCATGTCGGAATCATTCGAGCGCGCTTATGTGCTTGTTGGGGGTGCACGATTTTTGTCAAATAAGACCCTGCGGGCCATTCGCGCGCGTCGGCCGCGCGCGCATGTCGCAATCTCTGCAGAAGTTTCACCAGCGACGTGTGGACATCATCATCGTCATCGGCGTGGCCAGTATCGGCGACGTGCCGTCGCCATCGTCACCATGATACCGCGACAGCCCAAACCACTGACCCGGAGTCAAGCGCTCGCGAGCTAGCGTGACCTGTGAGACGCGCTGGGAAGCCCCCATCGGCCAGCGCCACCCCGGCTGCATCGGCTGTGCCAAACTAGCTGGTCGCTTTGCGCGCGAGCTTGCGCGGGCTAGCACGGCCGCAGAGATGCGCCAGCAAGCGCCACGCAGTCATGGCAATCGCCGCCGCCGGGGTTTTGCAAACCAACTTGCGGGCGGGAGTGTGGGATGATTGCGCCAGCAGTGGAGCTGACAACCCCAAATTTGTTTTTGATAATTGTACGGCATAGCGTGCGCCACATCGATTGCTCCATGTGCAGTCAAAAGCGCCGATTGCACCACAGAGCTTGCACCCCACATGTTGCACAACGCAGAATAGATTACACACCTCAGACTGCGTAGCATTGGTTGCACCGCATATATTATTGTTTGCCTGTTTGCTTTTATATATATATATATATATATAAACCAAAAAAAAGACATCGGTTCTACCAACCTCCCCCGGACTCGGACTTATCGATCCCCCAGGAAACTATGCCAAACACATATGATGCTGACCCAATGTCCATCCTACCTGAGAGGTCATACTATCCAAGCCAAGCCGGTATCGCCCCCCCTCGGCTCCCTTGCAAACAAATAGTTTGCGCGCGCACCCGTTTCTTACAAATCGTGAGTTTCCAGCAAAAACGGGACGATGTGGGCACGCGTGCGTCGTCGCGCTCGCATGCCGAAATCATTCAAAAACCTTCGGTATTCGGTTTCGGAAGGATTTCAAATTGAGTGTCCAAATAAACATGTTTATACATACGTTTATATAAACAAACAAAGAGATAGCACAAACAATATGGTTTCGCAACGCGGAGGTTCAACAAAAGCGTGCGCGCGCGTTCTTGCGAGTGCGAGTTTTTGAAAAGACGGTACGTGCTTCAACATGTTCATAAGATGCTACCAAGCTGGCTTCGTGCGCGCGCATGTCGAAATCGTTCGAACACCGTTGCGCGCGTGTTGGGTTGGCACGACCCGTGCCAAATAATACCATTCGGGCCACTCGCGCGTCTGCCGCGCGCGCATGTCGAATTCTTTCCTAAACCTGCATCGCCGACGCGAAGACGCCGTCATCGTTGTTGGCGTGATCAGCATCGGCGCCGTCACTGGCTGCCCCGTCGTCGTTGTCAGCATCGCCACCAGCATCGCTACTATCATCATCGCGCCTACCGTTGCCGACGTTGCCATGATACCGCGCCCGCCCAAGTCGCCGACTCGCAATGAAGTGTCCGTTCGGATGCCGAGCGGTCTGCGCCACCGCTTTCGCGTTGGTCGCGCCAAACTAGCTGACCGTTGCGGGCGCGAGCATGCGCGGGCCAGCGCGGCCGTGGAGATGCACCAGCCAACACCCAGCACTCACCGCAATCGCTCCTGCACACGTTTTGCAAACCACGTTGCGGGTGGGTGGGTGGGATGATTGCGCGAGCAGTGGAGTTGCTAACTTCAGTTGCGGCAAGTGAATTCTCTTTTCCAAAAGACTAATACATTCTACCCCCCCCCGGACTTATCGGTTACCCCGCGCGTGCTGTAAATTACATACGATTCTGACCACATGTCCATCCTAAATATGAATTCGTACCATCCCAGCCAAGCCGGGTTCCCCCCCCCTGCGGGTCCCTTGTAAAAAAAAACACTATGCGGTGACATTTTTTGTTCCAACATAGCACTTTTTCACGAATCCCTTGCAAAACATAGGACGAATTGCACACGCGCGCGTCGTGGCGCGCGCATGCCGAAATCCTTCAAGAACTTTCGGTTCCGGAGAGATTTCAAAATTGAATTCCCCAAAAAACATACAAAAACACATGGTTTCGCAACATTGATTCAAAGAAAAACTTACGCGCGAGCTCTTGCGAAGTCTTAAGAAAACCATAGGTTTTCCAAGATGTTCACAACATGCTGCCAAACGGGCTTCGCGCGCGCGCGCATGTCGAAATCTGTCGAACGCTCTTGCGCGTGTGCCGTCGCGAGAATCCTCAGCAAACAAAAAAGACGAAGTGGAGACGCGCGCGTCGTCGCGGGCGTATGCCGAAATCCTTCAAAAACTCTCGGTTCCGGAAGAATTTCGAAATCGTGCGTCCAAAAAACCTACAAAAACACAAGGTTTCGCAACACGGGTTTTCAACAAAACTGTGCGCGCGCGCTCTTGCGTCGTCGTCGTCGTCGTCCTCCCTCCTCCCTCGTCGTCGTCGTCGTCGTCGTCGCCGTCGTCGTCTTCTGTCTTTCCTCGTCGTCTTTGGCGTCGTCGTCGTTTCCGTCGTCGTTGTCGCCGTGGTCGTCTTTCCTCCCTCGTTGTCTTCGTCGGCGTCTCGTCGTTGTCCCTCCTATTTCGTCGCCGTCGTCGTCGTCGTCGTCGTCGTCGTGGTCTTCACTCCTCCCTCGTCGTTATCCTCCTCCCTCGTCGTCGTCGTCCGTCGTCGGCGTCTCGTCGTCGTCCCTCCTATTTCGTCGCCGTCGTCGTCGTCTTCGTCGTCGTTGTCATCGTCGTCGTCTTCCCTCCTCCCTCGTCGTTGTCGTCGTCGGCGTCGCCGTCCTTCCTCCTTCTTCGTCGTTGGCGTCGTCGCCGTCTTCCCTCCTCCATCGTCGTTGTCGTCGTTGTCGCCGTCGTCGTTTTTTCTCCTCCCTCGTCGTCGTCTCCGTTGGCGACGTCGTCGTCGTCTTCGTCGTCGTCGTCGGCGTCGTTGTCGTCGTCGTCGGTGTCGTCGTCGTCGTTGTTGTCGTCGAAAACATTGGAGACGTCGTCGGTGTCGTCGCAGTCGCTGTCGGCGGCGCCGTCGTCGTCGATGTCGCTGTCGTCGTCGGCATCGGTGTCGTGGCCAAGTGCCACGCTGAAGATGTCTTGCGACCAAGTTGCGGGTGGGAGGGTGGGATGTTTGCACGAGCAGCGGAGAGGACAGCTTCAAGACAGTCGAAGTGGATTGCACTACTTAGATGTCGCCAACATTCATGGCACCACATCGATTTCACCACCAAGAATGCACCACACATACTGCACCAGCATCACGAGGATTGCACCGAAGTGGTTACGCAACATCGATTGCACAAGTTCGACTGCTCAACGTACACGTGCACCGCATAGACTGCACTACGTAGTTTGTTCTACTTATATCGCACAAGAGATATTCGTTTGTCGAACAAGGAAATTGGAACGACCCTCCGCCCCCTGATTTACACGCCTTCCCTGGGGTTGTGCAAGTTACATACGATTTCGCCCCATCGCCCATTTGGAAATATGAGTCCAGACCATGTCAGCCAGGTGGCTTTCGACGCCCGCCCGCCTCCTTCCATCCATGTGAAATAGAACTATTTGCGCACATCCGTTTACCAAAAAAACCGTTTTGTAAAAGCGTCCATTGTAGAATGCGGGAAGGTTTGCGCCGACGTGTTTCATAGGATTCGTTAGGATGTCAAATTCGAGTGTTTCGAGCACATCCAGCAACACGTTTGCGCAGCATGGTGTTTCAAAACAAAAAAAACAGTCGCGTGCCCATGCGAAGTGTGAGCAAAACCATCGGCTTCCAATATTTCCATGAAAAAACACGAAAAGGGACCCCTAGCGCGCATGCCAGAACCATTCGAACTCCTTCGCGCGCGTGCGAGGGAAGGCGGGCTGCACCTTTTCCGAAGAATGCCGTTGTGGCCGTTCGCACGCGTCGGCCGCCGGCGCATTCATCATCGGCGTGATAAGCATCGGCGCCACCATGGGCCTTGCCGTCGTCAGTCTTCGTCGTCATCAACATCGTTCTAATCATCACCGAGTATGCCTTAGCCGACGTCGCCATGACACAGCTCCCGACGTAGTCACCTTCTCGCACTGAAGTGCCCGCGCGTCAGCGCGGCGTGCGAGAAGCACTGAGACATGTCCAGCAGTCAGCGCCACCGCGGTCGCGACCAACGGGGCGCTCTGCGCGCGAGCCTGCGCGCGCTAGCGCGGCCACAGCGATGCCCCAGCCACTGCCAGGCATTGATGGCGATCGCCGCCGCATGGGTTTTGAAAACCAAAGCGTGGGTGGGCTGGTTGGATGATTGCGCGAGCAATTGGGCTGACAGCTTCAATTTCGGCAGGGTGATTTGCACCACGTAAACTGTTCCACGTAAGTCGATTGCGCCATATGTTTTACCCATCAAAGATTTGTAGGCCCCACCACCCTCCCGAGGTTGGACCTATCCGCTCCCCCATGGGGACGCGCAATTTCGATACGATTCTGCCCCATCGTTCATGGAAAAAGGTGACCCCGTACCATGCCATCCATGATTGTTTTTCAAATGGGGCACGCAATCGTTTATCGAACATCACTCGTCTGGCAAGAATCCACTGCAAAAGCGATGTGAAACGCACGCGCATTCGCCATCGTGCGCGCATGCCGATTTTTGTTTCAACATGCGATGGTTCGTAAGGATTTCAAAATCTCGTGGTCCAATTAAATGTCTTACAACCGTGGTGTTGCAACATACATATCTAACAAAATTGCGCGCCCGTTGCGATAGTTTAATCGGGCCATGGTGTTTCAAAGCTGTCACCATATGCGACCAAACAGTCCTTTCGCGCGCGCGCGTGTCGACATCATTCGAACGTCCGTGCGCGCGTGTTGCGGCGGGCACGGTGCCTTTGAAACCATGCATCGCGCGCGTCGGCCGCGCGCGCATATCCCTTCATCAGCGACACGTGGACACCACCATCGTCGTCGGTGAGGTCAGCATCGGCGCCGTCATCGGCTTTGCCGTCGTCGTTGCCATCGTTGCCGCCAGCATCGCTAGTGTCATCATCGTGTCGGCCGCTGTCGACGTGTCCATGGTACCGCGCCCGGTCGAGCCACCGCCTCGCACTGAAGTGCCCGCGCGTCAGCGCGGCCTGCGAGACGCGCTGGGACATGTGCAGCTGTCACCGCCACCGGTGCCCTGTCGGTCGCATTGGGCCAGCTGGCCACAGGCGCGCGCCTGCGCGCCAACGCGGCCACAGCGATGCGCCAGCCAGCGCCAGGCAGGCATCGCAATCGCCGCCACATGGGTCTTGCAAGCCTAGATGCGGGTGGGTGGGCGGGATAATTGCGCGAGCACTGGAATTGACAATTTCGAGATCGGCACTGCGACTTGCACCACAGATGTTGCACCATTCAGAGTGCAGCGCGCAGAGTGTGCACCACATAGAAAGCACCACGCCCATGGCACAACATAGGTAGCACAACATGTGTTGCAACACATGGATTGCAACACGTGGTTTTCCCCACATATGTTGCACAACGCTGATATCAGGAATTCATTGTTTTGGGTCCTTCATCATCACCATCCAGTGGAAGTCGGAAGCGGTGTGCCGGACTTTTGTGGGGGCATCCTCTTGTCAGACCGCCGCATCGCCGAGGTCACGGTCAAGTGCGCATCGTAAAGTGCATGTTGACCGCAAACGCAAACATCTCAGGAATGTGGCGTTTCTTGGCGATTGTTATCCACTTGCGTTGTTCACCGTAGTGGCAGTCGCCAGACAGGCGGCGTTTACAGGGGAGGGGGATTCTCACAGGCGGAGGAGAAGGATAAGGCCGACCAAACCTCGCCCACGCACGCCCACGCACGGCGAGGCAGAGGGACGGGAGGAGGGGGACGGGGAGGGAAGAGGAGGAGGAGGAGGAGGAGGAGGAATATGAGAAGGTAGTGTGACGTGAGCGGCGGAGGGAGAAGTGTTTGCTCCTCCTCTCCTCCTCATCCTCCTCATCCTCCTCATCCTCATCTTCATCCTCATCCTCCTCCTCCTCCTCTTCGTCCTCCCCATCCTCCTCGTCCTTTTCTTTCCCCCTCCTCATACATCCTTCCTTCCTCCATCCGTTTCCTTCTCTTCCTTTTTCCCCCCTCCCTCAATCCCATGCCTCCCTCCCTCTTTCCCTCCCTCCTTCTACATACTGACTCCCTCCCCCATCCGCTTCCTTGAGCATTCCCCCCTTCAGCAGCGTCGGCCCGATATCCCCAGGGTTGGGTGAGACGAACGCAGCCACCCCCGTCCCCCACCCAGCCGGCCCTCCGGCCCCCTCTCCACATCTGTCGACGCTCACACCGCCCCATCCCAGGGCGGGTGCCCATGGTTGTTTGTTCTCTTTTTGTTTTTGTTCTCTCTCTGATTCTGACACCCTCCTCCGTGTACCTATTTTGGCTCAAGATGAAAAGAGATCTTGTTGCTAATCAACACATTATCTCATCATGGTAGCGTGAGCTGGCCACTCACTGTTGCCAACCCACCAGGGCCTTGGCGCGCGCGGGCGCCACGGCGAGTTGGCAAGGCGCGTGGGCTGAGACCCGAGGCTGGAAGAGAGCGGCATCAGCCGCACCAAGCTCGGCAGCGGCCGGGCCACCGGCAGAGGCTGAGAGGAGACCACCGGCAGAGTCCGGGAGGAGTCGACCGGCAGGAGCCGGGAAGAGCGGCCGCAGGCGCGGCAAGAGGAGCGACGCAGCGGTTGAGAATAGACGCCGTCAGCTTCAGTTCAAACACGGCCTGAAGGACACAGGCAACAAGCTGCACGACCTCGCGTATATCGAGGACCACCCGTCGGAGAATTCGTCGGGCGCCATCGAGGAGGCAAAGAAGGAGGTCTTGGATCAGATCATAGACCTCGAGCGCACGAGGCAGGAGATAGCTGAGAGCAAGGAGGAGCTCGCCAGGAGACACGCAGTCAAACATGGACGAGCAAGTTCGGCAGCAGTTCGACTTACTGAGGCAGGAGTTCGCAGCCCGAATGAGTCAGACCGTCGACGAGATGAGGAGGCTGGAGAACGAGAATCAACGGCTTCAGCAGCAAGTAGCAGGAGGCCTCGCGGCGATCCCGCAGGCGATCGAGCGCATGGGCGAGCAGATCCGAGGCGCTACGAACGCGGGAGGAGCCGCACCCGGTCTCGTCGACACGAAGGGGATCGGCAAGCCCACGACGCTAGGCGACGATCAGGAGAAGTTCGGAGCTTGGAACCGCAAGATGGAGAACTACGTGATAGGCGTGTACGGAGAGAGCTTCCGTCCTGTTCTCCGGTGGGCGGCAGAAGCCGAACGCCCCGTGACGATCGAAGGGGCACAGGAGGCGCACGGAGGAGTACCAGAGCTGGAGACCAAGATCAACCAGCTGTACGCGGCGCTGATCAGCACGACGGCGGACGGCAGCGAGAGCAACGACCTCGTGACGGGCGCACCCGACGGGAACGGTCTCGAGGCCTGGCGGAAGCTTCACCGCAGGTGGGACCCGACGACAGGTCCGAGGAAGAGGCTGATCCTGAGGTCGATCATCTCGCCTCCGAAGTGCAACGCGGAAGAGCTGGGGTCCGCCTTAGAGAAGTGGATCCAGCAGATAGGCAAGTACGAACGCCGCCAAGGAGAAGACGGGCTGGCCGAGTTGCCGGAGGATATCAAGATGGCGGCCCTCGAGATGCTCGTGCCTCAGGACATCGAGAACCACCTCGTACTCAACAAGCATCGGCTCGTGACGTTCCAGGACAGCCTGAACGAGGTAATGACGATCGTAGAGGCTCGGACAGGCGTGAAGATCAAGGAGCCATCGATCCGCGCACGGGCGCATCATCCGGACGACATGGACGTCGGATCGTTCGGAGCCCCGAAAGGAAAAGGCAAAGGCAAGGGCAAGGACGGCAAGAGCAAAGGGAAAGGCAAGACCCAGGAGCCGAAGGGGAAGAGCAAATCGACGAGCGGATCATACTCAGGCTCCCGCACATCCCCGACGGGTTCGGGCCGTGGTTCAGGGCACATGGCACCCCGAAGCACCGGCGTGCGCTTCGACGGCTACTGTCGGAACTGCGAGAGATGGGGCCACAAGGCATCCGAATGCTGGAGGAAAGAGCAGGGATCGAGTACGAGGGCTGGAACTGGATCCGCAACGGGGGCAAGCGCTGGTGGTAAAGGTGGCAGCCGCGGCGGCAAGGCCGGCGGCAAGGCGGCAGGCAGCCTGGAGGAGGAGCCTGAGGCGGAGGTCGCCGCTCTGGACATGGGCAGCTTGGACTGCCTGGAGCTCGCCAGCGGCAACGGCCGCGGCGTAGCGGCGGTCGACCTCTCCCCCTTCGTGCAGGACGACTGGATGAAGTTCAACTGGGACAGCGGTGCAGCTGTCTCAGCATTCCCTCGGAGCTTCGCGCCGCCGACGGGAATGAAGGGCAACGGCAGCACGTATCGCACGGCCAGTGGTGAGCTCGTCCCGGACGAGGGCAGCTTGCAGCTCAAGGCGGAGGACGAGTACGGAGTGCTCAGAGCGCTCAAGGGACGCGTGACGAACGTGCACAAGCCGTTGATCTCGGTGGGGCAGGCAGCAGGAGCTGGACAGTGTTCATTCCTAGGCCGCAATGGCGGCTGGATATTCCACGAGAAGAGCCCAATCGGCAAGCGCGTGGTAGGCATGCTGGAGAAGGAGGCGAAGACGGCGAAGCACCAGATGCTGCCGGTCTATCAGCACTTCTACCTCAAGAAGGGCCAACATGGCTCGGTTGCTCCTCTCGAGGAGGGACTTTCGGCGAAGTCGAAGTCCGAGCTGGTGGAGCTCCTCAGCAGCAAGTCGAAGGAGGAGCTGCTGGAGATCTTCGAGAGGACAGCCCCCAGGAGGCAGCCCTTGGCGTAAGTCCACTGGAAGACTCAATACCGCGGTCCCCTGCGGCATTGGCAGCAGGGGTGGCAGCGGCGGGGTCGGGACCTTCCGACATGAGACCGCCGGGTTTTCAGCCAGCGGCAGCTGCCGCGGCCGACGTTTTGCCAGCTGCTCCTGATGGACAGCAGGCCGACGAGGGCGAGGAGGAGGCTCGCCCGAGGGTGCTGAAGGCACCTCACGAGCCCTCTCAGAGGGAGATCGTCGAGCACGAGGCGATGGGACACGCGACCTACCGCAGCTGGTGTCGCGTGTGTATTGCGGCAAAGGGCCAAGGCCAGCCGCATCTCCGCGCACCGGAGGACGACGAGACGGCGGTGCCGGTGGTCTCGTCCGACTACGCCTTCATGGGCCAGGACGACGCGGACACCATGCCGATGCTGGTCCTTAGGGATCGACGCTCGAAGATGATGGCAGCGACATTCGTGGAGAAGAAGGGCGACGACGCCTACGCCATCAAGTTCTTCGCACGCTTCTTACGGATCCTGGGCTACAGGAAGATCGTCAACAAGTCCGACGGCGAGCCAGCGATCCTGCTGGTCAAGAGGCGTGCGGTGGAGGAGGTTCCTGGCCTCGAGGCCATTCCCCAGGAGTCGGCACCGGCCGATCATCAGGCCAATGGGGAGATCGAGGTCACGGTGCGCGAGATCAAGAAGCAGGTGCGAGCGCTCAAGATGGACCTGGAGTCCAAGCTGGGCGTCAAGGTGGAGGACAAGCACCCAGTGCTAGCGCACCTGCCGGAGCACGCCGCATCGGTGATCAACCGATACAGGCGCGGCCAGGACGGCAAGACCGCTCTTCAGCGGCTCACGGGACGGCAGTGGAGGAAGCCGGTCCCGCTCTTCGGTGAGCGCCTGATGGTGCGGTTCGCCGGGGAGCGCGCGAGGAAGAACGCGCTGGAGGAGCAGATGGTGGAGGCTCGCTACATCGGCCACCACCCGCGCGACGGCTCGATGATGGTCATCACGAGCGACGGTGTGAAGAAGGCGGTCGGCTTTCGCAGCCTGCCGCAGAGCGAGAAGTGGATCACGGCGGGCTGGGACAGCCTGAAGGGCCTGCCGTGGGACGTGGCTCCGCGTGCGGCCAGTGCGCCGCGAGCCATCGTCGGACCGGGAGAGGCCGGTCCGCCACCGATTGTGGTGGTGCCGCCGCAGCCGCAGGCGCCGAGGAGGATGTGCGTTCTCAAGGCGGACGTCGAGCGGCTGGGCGCAACGCCGGGATGCCCAGGGTGCGTCTCGATCGCCAAGCACGGCAAGGTGCTGGCTGGCCATGCGCACAACGCGGTGCGCAGCAAGAGAATCTTCGAAGCGCTGGACGCTGAGGAGGCAGGCCGGGAGAGGACCGGCCAGTATCGAGAGCGGAGGCAGGGCCAAGAGGCCAGAGTCCGCCCGGCGGCAGCGGCCGCGGCAGGGACCCCTCCGCCGAAGACGGCTCGGAGGATCACCGAGCCGGTGGCAGCGGCGGCGTCGGCGCCGGCCGCGAGCCGATCGGCAGCAGCGCCAGCCGCAGCGGCGCGCATGCGAGAGAGCCAGCCGGGAGCATCAGGCTCCGGCGTGGCGGCTCCTTCAGGAGGAGCGAGCTCCAGTTCGGGAGCAGTGAGAGCGGCAGAGGCCGCCGAGGATGTCGACATGACCGCGACCAGGTCGCGGCTGAAGCGCTTGGCGGAGGTGGCCCCGGATGACGTGCCGGAGGCCCTCGAGCGCGGTGATCCACAGCCGGCAGACGTGCCGGTACCGGTGGACATGGAGGATCTCGCGGCGCAGCCGGCGCCAGCGGAGGGACCTCAGCTGCCAGCTGGAGTGGCAGTCGTGTGGAACGCCAGTGAGGGGAGACACATGCGGGTGCTCGCTCTCGACGTGGCGTCGATCGAGCTGGTCGAGCTCGGAGTGCTGACGAGAGCGAAGGCGGAGTTGCTTCCGCTCGTTCGCGAGCAGGTCAGCGGCCATTGGGCCAGCGTCGGCGTGGACATCGCCGACGAAGAGGTGGACAGCATCGCCTTATCGGCGTTGCAGCTGGGCGCCGTGGACGTGGCAGAGGTGTACTCGCCACATCGGTTCTCGGCTCGGGCGGCGGAGTTTCAGCTGCGCCCGGGCTTCGCGGCGGACCTGGAGGAACTCAAGGAGGACGGGGCGCCGTGGGACTTGCGGCGACCCGAGGATGTCAAGGAGCTCGAGGAGCAGCAGGAGCGGATGGATCCCATCCTGCTCACAGGGTCCCCTCCATGCGAGAAGTTCAGCTTGCTGAGGGGCCTGAGCGCCAAGTTCAGGACCGATGAGCAGGAGGCGGCTGAGATGGAGGAGGCCAGACACCACCTGAAGGTGGCAGTCGACGCCTACTGGCGTCAGCTCAGGAAGCCAGGCAGGTACTTCCTGCATGAGCATCCCTGGAGCGCGCGATCGTGGAATGAGGACATCGTCAAGGAGCTGGTCGCGCATCCAGGAGTCTTCACGGTCAAAGGCCCCATGTGTCGGTGGGGCATGAAGCTCACGAACCCACGCAGTGGCCAGGAGGAGTTCGTGCGCAAGGAGACCGGGTGGGTCACCAACCACCCAGGCTTAGCCCGGAGACTGCAGGGCACTTGCAGCAATGTGGACGGACGTGCGGAGTGGCATCGCCACATCACGCTCGTGGGCGGCATCGCGCGGTTTGCGAAGGTCTATCCACCGAAGTTGGTGGAGGCGGTGCTGGAGGAGCTCAAGGACACGCTGAATGACGCGGGGGAGCTCAGCACCGCCCAGGTGCAGCAGTCGGGCCCAGTCCCTGTGGACGCGGCGGTGCCGCCCGGGGACTGGACGAGCTACTGGGACGACGTCAATGGCGGCTACCTGGAGGCGGGCCTTGTGGCCCAGGCTCGCGCGGTCGAGCGCGAGTGGGTCAAGAAGCAGGAGCTGATCGAGATCGTCCCGAGGTCTCAGGCTTTCGCTGAGACTGGGCGTCCGCCCATCCCACTCAAGTGGGTCGACACGAACAAGGGTGACGCGGAGAGGCCCAACTACAGGAGCAGGCTCGTCGTGAAGGAGATCAAGGCGAAGAAGCGTCCTGACGAGCAGCTGGAGGCGTCCGAGGTTTTCTCGGCAATGCCTCCGCTGGAGGCCATGCGGTCGCTGGTCTCGCTGATGGTCACGTGGACGCGGGAAGCACCGCTCCACATTCAGGAGTCGCTTCGCAGGAAGGGCAGGAAGCCGGGCAACTTCAAGATCGGCTTCTTCGACATCAGCAGGGCGCACTTCTACGGGAAGGCGCAGCGGAGGATCTTCGTGGAGCTGGAGGAGGAGAGTCGCAAGGAGTACGGTGAGGACAAGTGTGGCTTACTCCTCAAGTCCTGGTACGGCACGCAGGACGCCAGCAAGATCTGGCAGGGCGACTACACGGAGCTGTTGGAGGAACACGGCTACAAGGCGGGCGTGTCATGCCCAGCGGTCTTCTACAGGGAGGTGGACGAGACGAGGCTGCTGGGGCACGGCGACGATTTCGCGGTGCTGGCTCAGCAGCAGGACATCGACAGCTTCGAAGCCACGCTAGGCAAGAAGTACGAGTTCAAGAAGACTGCGAACCTCGGCTTCGACGAGGGCGACGACAAGCAGGCGGTCTTCCTGAATCGGGTCATCGAGGTCAGTGCGGGAGTTCCGCCTGGCGGTGGCCGACCCTGCCGGCATGCGATGATCGAGCCGGACAAGCGGCACGCAGAGATCGTGATCGACGAGCTGGGTCTCAGCAAGGCCAACGGCGTGGACACGCCGATGGAGAAGCGCAGCGCCGACAAGCAGATGATGGACGCGAGGTCGGCGGCGCTGGGAACGGCGGAAGCTTCGCGCTTCCGATCCCTCACCATGAGGGTAGCCTACCTGTCTCAGGACAGGCTGGACTTGGCACAGGCATCGAAGACGCTCGCCAGGTCCATGCAGACGCCGACGGAGGCGAGTTGGCTCATGCTCAAGAGGGTTGGCCGCTACCTTAAGCGGCATCCCAGTACGGTGACGGTCTTCACGGAGCAGAAGATGTTCGACAAGATCCGAGTGTACGTGGACTCCGATCATGCGGGCTGCGCAGTCACTCGGAAAAGTACCGGAGGCTTCGTGGCGATGCTGGGGCATCACGTCATCAAGCACGGCAGTAATCTTCAGTCGACGGTCTCTCTGAGCAGTGGGGAGAGCGAGTACTACGCCCTGGTGAAGGGCGGGAGCGTGGGCCTGGGTCTACACAGCCTCTTCGCAGATTGGGGGCTGGACCTGAAGGTGGAGCTCGCCTCAGACTCATCGGCGGCCCGGGGCCACGTCCAACGGCGAGGTCTCGGGAAGATGCGACATGTTCAATCCCGATACCTGTGGATCCAGGAGCGCGTGGGCAAGGGCGACCTCTCGATCGCCGCGGTTCCTGGTAAGAACAATGTCGCGGACGTGCTGACCAAGAGCGTGGGTGGATCTCTCTTGAGGAGACACATGGCGACGCTCAACATCTGGGATCGGGCACCGAGTTCGACCCAGAAGGATATCAAGTGAAGGAGTGGATCGAATCCATGCTCCGCTACCTGTGGGGCTGGATGAGTTTCCGCCGGTGGCGGTATGATCGCACCGGACGGGTGAAGTGAGGGGCTCGCGGCATGGCCGCAGCCTGGCTGACGAGATGGGCGCGTCGGCTTGGACGCGCCCGCGTGTGACGTGGAGATGGGCGTGTCGGCTTGGACGCGCCCGCGTACGACGCATGTCGTGCCTGGCCGGGTTGGCGGCCAGGCCCGAGGAGGAGTGATTCTGACACCCTCCTCCGTGTACCTATTTTGGCTCAAGATGAAAAGAGATCTTGTTGCTAATCAACACATTATCTCATCACTCTCTCTCTCTCTCCCTCTCTCTCTGCTTCCCTCTCATCCCCGCGCCGTTCCCCACCTCCCTCCCCGTCCTGTTCCTCGTCCTACTATGTTGTTTCTATTATGCTTCCTCCTCTTACCAGGCAGCGAAATGGAAACAACAACGCGCTTTCACCTATATATGCTCCTATATTGCGAAGGCCTTACGGCCGGTGCCGCCGACCTTGAATGACGACGACGACGACAACGACAAGCGCTCTCGGGGGCCTCGTGGGGGTAGTTTGGGGGCCTTTTGGGAAGCTGTTGGGAGCCGTTTGGGAGCCTCGTGGGGGCCTCCTGGGGCTTCCTGGGGGTCTATTGGAGGCCTCCTGGGGCCTCTTGGGGGGCTTCTTAGGATTCTCTGGTGGCTTCTTGAGAGCTTCTCAGGCCGAGGGATCGAAATGTCTTTTCGGGTCCCCCGTCTGGCCTCCCTCTTGGAGCCGTCTTGGGGGCCTCCTCGGTTGTCTTGGAGGCCTCTTTTGGGCGGTCTTGGGGCCCTCTTGGGTCGTTGTGGAGCACTCTTGGAGGCCTCTTGAGCCATCTTGGGGCGGTCTTGGAGCCCTCTTCGCCTGTCTTGGAGCGTCGGGAAGCTGACAAGGCGAGACTGCTGAAATCGTTTAAAAACCTACGGGACATCGATGTTTTTGTTGTCCCTTGGGGTCGTCTTGGGAGTCCTCTTGGAGGCCTCTTGGGCCGTTTTGGAAACCTTTTGAGCCGTCTGGAGGTTACTGTGGCGACTTGCACCGATACTTCGGCGATTCGGGGCCCTCGAAGACCGTCTTGGAGACATCTTGGGCCACTTTTGCCGCGTCTTGGGGCTTTTCTGAGCCCCCGAACCGCCCGGGGGTGGAGTCGTATCTGCCCCGGGACCCACCCCACGGACCCCCCCCCCCAGGACCCCACCGCCGGACCCCCCCCCCTCCCCGGCGGGGAGGGATCAAAGGCAAGGGGCTTCCCTTCGACTCAACTACTAGCCGGCCGCTCTGCGGTTGATCGGGAGTTTCTGTATATAGAAGAAGGTGCGTGCGCTTGTTGGCGAGGGTGAGGATGAGGTTCCTCCTCCTCCTCCTCCTCCTCCTCCTCCTCCTCCTCCTCCTCCTCCATCCTTCTCTTGCCTCCGTCTGTCCTCCTCCACCCCGCAGCTCCATCATCTTCTCCTCCTCCTCCTCCTCCTCCTCCTCCTCCTCCTCCTCCTCCTCCTCCTCCTCCTCCTCCTCCTCATTCCTCCTCTGGGCACCTCCCCCGGGGCGCGGATCCACCGGATCTGTCCGGATCTGTCCGGAAACGGTGCCGGAGGCCGCTCTGGGCTCCTCTGGGCACCTCCCCCGGGGCCGGTTTTGTGAGGATGTCTCAAGCGAGGGCGCCGGTTTGGGATTCGTCACCGGATCCAGCGGATCCAGCGGATCCACCGGATCTGTCCGGAAACGGTGCCGGAGGCCGCTCTGGGCTCCTCTGGGCACCTCCCCCGGGGCCGGTTTGGGATTCGTCGGCGGATCCACCGGATCCAGCGGATCTGTCCGGAAACGGTGCCGGAGGCCGCTCTGGGCTCCTCTGGGCACCTCCCCCGGGGCCGGTTTTGTGAGGATGTCTCAAGCGAGGGCGCCGGTTTGGGATTCGTCACCGGATCCAGCGGATCCACCGGATCTGTCCGGAAACGGTGCCGGAGGCCGCTCTGGGCTCCTCTGGGCACCTCCCCCGGGGCCGGTTTTGTGAGGATGTCTCAAGCGAGGGCGCCGGTTTGGGATTCGTCGGCGGATGACGGGAAGCGTCTTCGAGGTACGAGAAGCAAGCGGGACGTTCTGGCTGAATCCTTGAGTAAATATATATATATATAGGTATATATATAATATATATATATATTATATATATAGATATATCTTTAATATTATGGGTGCCGCGCTGCACCGGATGAACGGGAAGCGTCTTCGAGGTACGAGAAGCAAGCGGTGGACGTTCTGGCTGAATCCTTTGATAAATATATATATATATATATTATCTATATATATATATCTATATATATCTATATATATATCTTTAATATATGTTGTTTGCGGGGGCCCCTTTTTTTTTGGGCTGCACGGGGGTTTTCGTGGGCGGAATGACGGAGCGTCCTTCGAGTCACGAGGAGCAAGCGGGACGTTCTGGGCGAATCCATAGTAAAATATAATAATATATATATATTATTATTATATATATATATATATATATATATATTATCTTTTATATCTATGGGTTTGCGGGGCTGCACGGGGGTTTGCAGGGGGGGGGGGTTGGGATGACGGGAAGCGTCTTCGAGGTACGAGAAGCAAGCGGGACGTTCTGGCTGAATCCTTTAGTAAATATATATATATATATATATCTTTATATCTATGGGTTGCGCGATTGCACGGGGGTTTTCATTGGCGGATGACGGGAAGCGTCTTCGAGGTACGAGAAACAAGCGGGACGTTCTGGCTAGATCGGAAGAGTAAATATATCTATGTCATATATATATATATATATATATATATATATATCTTTATATCTATGGGTTGCGCGATTGCACGGGGGTTTTCATTGGCGGATGACGGGAAGCGTCTTCGAGGTACGAGAAGCAAGCGGGACGTTCTGGCTGAATCCTTGAGTACATATATATATATATATATATATATATATATATATCTCTTTATATCTATGGGTTGCGCGATTGCACGGGGGTTTTCATTGGCGGATTCCCCAAAATGGCCATTTCGCTCGAGACATCCTCGAAAAATCGAGGTGTTGGAGGCTATCGTTTAAGAAGTCTTTTTTTAACAAATGACGGTTTCGCTCGAGACATCCTCAAAAAATCGGGATGTTGAAAAATATCAAAAAAAAATTTGTATGCATGAAAAATGAGCGTTTCGCTCGAGACATCCTCGAAAAAATGAGATGCCGACAGAGGTGTTTTAGAACCTCTTATGTTAAAAATGACGTTTTCGCTCGGGACGTCCTCAGAAAATGAGCAGGTGGTCTGCCGTGCTCCCGTGTGGAGCACGGCAGACCACGGCCATTTCGCTCGAGACATCCTCAAAAAATCGAGGTGTGGTCTGCCGTGCTCCTGTGTGGTCTGCCTTGCTCCTGTGGTCTGCCGTGCTCCTCAAAGGAGCACGGCAGACCGCGCGTAGGAACCGAGAGGAGCACGGCAGACCAAGACGAGGAGCACGGCGGACCGGGCTTAGGAACCGAGAGGAGCACGGCAGACCAAGACGAGGAGCACGGCAAACCAGGCACCAAGAGCGCCCTCAAGACGACGGAAAGGATGACCAAGACGAGGAGCACGGCAGACCAAGACGAGGAGCACGGCAGACTATGCCCTAAGAGTGCCCTCAAGACGGCCGAACAACGGCAGACCCCATAGGAGCACGGCAGACCACAAAAGAGCACGGCAGACCAACAGGAGCACGGCAGACCACACAAGAGCACGGCAGGCCACACAGGAGCACGGCAGACCACACAGGAGCACGGCAGACCACAAAGGAGCACAGCAGACCACACAAGAGCACGGCAGACCCCACAAGAGCACGGCAGACCCCACAGGAGCACGGCAGACCCCACAGGAGCACGGCAGAGCAGACCCAAAAGGAGCACGGCAAACCACACAGGAGCAAGGCAAACCACAGGAGCACGGCAGACCACACAGGAGCACGGCAGACCCCACAGTAGCAAGGCAGACCCCAAAGGAGCAAGGCAGACCACCGGAGCACGGCAGACCACACAGGAGTACGGCAGACCCCACATGAGCACGGCAAATCCCAAATGAGCACGGCAGACCACAAGAGCACGGCAGACCACACAGGAGCACGGCAGACTCCACAGGAGCACGGCAGACCACAAAGGAGCACGGCAGACCACACAGGAGCCCGGCAGACGCCACAGGAGCACGGCAGACGCCACAGGAGCACGGCGGAACCCACAGGAGCACGGCAGACCGCGCGCGGGTACAACATAAACGCGCCTTTTTGTTGTACCCCGAACGCCGCTGGCGTTTCCCCAACAGGAGCACGGCAGATCTCACAGGCGCGCGGCAGACCCCAAATGAGCACGGCCGACCACAGGAGCACGGCAGACCCCAAATGAGTACGGCAGACCCCAAAAGAGCACCGTAGACGCCTCAGGAGCACGGCTGACCACACAGGAGCACGGCAGCCTGGGCCGGTTCCGGCGCCGGAAAATTGAATTCCGAGGCGGTGCCGAAAAAAGGCCACTCCAAGACATATTTTTCTTTCGAAAATATTGATTTTCTGCTCCCGGCGCCCGGGAAAACCCCTTCCGGGCCGCTTCTGGCACCCGGGCCGGCGCTCGAGCCGAACGCCCGGGCCAGCACCCGGGCCAGCGCCCGGGCCGGTTCCGGCGCCGGCCGGCGCCGGAAAATTGAATTCCGAGGCGGTGCCGAAAAAAGGCCACTCCAAGACATATTTTTCTTTCGAAAATATTGATTTTCTGCTCCCGGCGCCCGGGAACCCCTTCCGGGCCGCTTCCGGCACCCGGGCCGGCGCTCGAGCCGAACGCCTGGGCCAGCACCCGGGCCAGCGCCCGGGCCGGTTCCGGCGCCGGCCGGCGCCGGAAAATTGAATTCCGAGGCGGTGCGGAAAAAAGGCCACTCCAAGACATATTTTTCTTTCGAAAATATTGATT